GGATCCGCACCGGGAGCGCCCTGCCCGGCCAGCTTCTCCTCCCCCTTCCCCTGCTCTGTGTGTCAACGCGGGGTTTTGTGCAAAAGACAAAGCCCCGAGATAAGGAAAACTTAGAGGCCAAGTGCTCTTTACTGGCAAGCAACGCGTGTTGTCCCCGCGGACTCCGATGTCCTGCAGAAAGAGCGGTCACTGATTTACCCCTGGGAAGGTTTTTATGTTAAATACATTTTTCACACTCCCTCAGGTGCACGTGGAAATATTATTCATAACCTGGCTATATCACATCTCATCCACTCCACTCTTGCACTGATTACAATTCCGTGGAAGATCCGCACACACATCCCCCATTCTTTCCCTTTCCCCGGTTTGCTGATATCGTGTGTTATGGCACAAAATATTTCAAAAAGACATGGATTGTGGGGGGCAAACCGACAGAGATTCAGCAGGTGGGTGACTAGGCCTGTGCACGGCACTGTCGGGAGGGTAGGAGTCCCTTTTCATTTGAGCCTACTCAGTCATGGAAGGAATTGCAATGGGGATTAATTTGTCTGGTAATATGATAAGTGACGTTAAGCATAATAGAAATATAATCATGTTGCTGGAGTCGTGTGGAAGTTTAACCTCAGATCGTGTGCACCGGGCATGGTGCACGATATACAGAAGGTTTTCAAGGAAACACGCCACAGACACCTTCGGGATGAAATGGTGACTACGTTATTGCCGCTGATAATAGCAAACTGCAAAACCCTGCTCGCCAAGGAGTGCCCAGGTCCTGCACCCACCGTGTATGAAAATAACCTCCTCATTCGCCAAAACCCAAAAAATATCAAAGTGCAGAGGACACAACAAAAATATACGGCCGAACCCTAAACGTGAAGTGCAAACAAAGCCACTGTGTTCACCATCATGGCGTATGTGGTCAAAAGGACTTCCAATATTTGTAAAAGCTTACAGGTTTTTGTTTTGATTTTTTTGTTTGTTTTGGGTTTGTGGGGGTTTTTTTCGAATTTGTTGGGGGTTTTTTCTCCCTCTCAGTTCGTCACGATTAAATTTCGGAGGGACGCAGCCAACTCGTACTCGGCTACGAGCAGGGGCACATAAAGGAAAGCATTCCAAATATTTCACATGAATGCACTTTATGCAAGGTGGGTGGGAAAAAGCTCGTGGCTGTGCGTTTAAAGTCTGTCCTTTCCTCACTGTAACAATCAATGAGGAGCTCTCGCATCCTGTACCGCTAACATTTGCACAGAGGATGAGGAAATATCTGGCGTTAGAGGGGAAGGGGAAGAGGTTAAAAATAAGGTCTCTTAGAAAACGATGCGGGTCCTGTAACCAAATACTGTCGACATACAGCAGTGCATATGCATAGACACACGCACGCATATAATCTAATTACCGTTTCACGTAAGGAAACAATTTGACCTTCAGCATCCAAGTTGAGACAACAAATCAGGGATATTAGTGTAGTACAAGCAAGCAGTAAGTTAGGGGACCCCAGGGAAAGCCATCCTCATAAGCACTCTGCTTGTGCAAAGTGAGTTACATTCGGGTAAAAGCGGGCTGCGGCGCATTCCGCTTCCCCGAGAGTTGAAAAATGTTCAACTTCGCTTAACCCCCTGTAAGAGCCACTGAAAAGTCCCTCCGTACAGTCAGGTTTCCAGTGGGAAGAGGGCAGCATTTTCTCAGCTGCCCGGTTTGCATTCCCTGAACGCCTCAATAAAGAGGAGCCATCCG